GGGTGGCAATATTATCTTTGGTTATTTATGGTGCAGAATGCGATTGAGAGAAACCATTCTTTAGCGTCCAATTATTATAATTTTACACTCTTTTCACATATATTAAAGATAATCTAATCAGCCTAACAAGTTTATATCTAACAAATTATGCATAGGTTTAAAAAAAATTCACTATGTTTGTGCAAAAGTGCAGGGGGTGCCATTTGTGCATTCTTCAAAATTTACCTTTGTTTTGATACAACGATGCGAGGAGCAATCAGAAGTGCCCTCCAATTAAAATGTAAGCCCCTGTAGTTTATTATACATACTGCAGCATCCGGCCACTTTTGCAGGACCATTGGCCAACTGAAAAGAAGGTTTAACTGCCTGCACGCTGAGCTCCGGATGCTACCCAAGAGATGCTGCGACATCGTGGTGGCCTGCTGCATCCTCCACAACCTCGCCAAATGGTTTCCGTGCAGCCTTCCCAGCACTTCCCTGCCAAGTGAGGTTCCCACCGATCCCATAGAAGCAATACGGCCAGACAGCGTGGCAGCCCGAGCTGCTATTGTGGCCCGGTTTTTTTCGTGAATGTAAGTAGACTTATTCCACATTGCGTGACAGGCACTCGCAGACATTATGTTCTAAGGTGAATGATTCATCTTTGTTATTTGAACTTGTTAACTGTACCTCTTTCGTATAATGTATTTTAAGGTTGTCTCAAAGAGAACAGTAGGAATGTGACAAGAGGATAAATAAAAACAGCAGTATTTTTATTTGCATACTGAAAGACTACAAGATACTGCATCAAACATAACACCAATGTCACATTGCCAGAGAAGTTCTAAAATCATATCACAGTGTTTTTATTAACAGTTATGTTTGGCAGCAAGTCGCGTAGCATTGCTATACATATACGTAATAACTGCTGCCAGCGCCGACCCTAGGGGTGGGCTACCTGGGCGGTCAAGGCGCCATGAAACGGGGGGCGCCGCCACGCCCCTCCTTTCAACTTTTTTTTTTTTTTTTCTTTTTGATTTATATGAGCACGGTGCCCGACACGACGCTATGCGCCGAGAAACTGAGGGAGAGAAGGAGACGAGAGCGGTCGTCAGAACGTCAAGCTCTGATATGAATGATTAGTGGGTAGACTCAAAGCTAGCTGCCTTTGTCTCCATTATGCTCGTCGAACGCGTTAAAAACGCGGAACGCCGACGTCAAGCGTGTGGCTTTCGTATTCGAACGCGTTCGACGAGCGCAGTGGAGACAAAGGCATACTCCGATACGAATGATCAGTGGGTAGACTCAAAGCTAAATAGCTTTGAGTCTACCCACTGATCATTCGTATCGGAGCCTAGCGTTCTGACGATCCCTCTCGTCTCCTTCTCTCCCTCACTCTCTCGGCACATATGCTCAATCGCCGTTCGTGTTTAGAATGTGGTTCTCGCCTGACAAAACGCTCCTGTTGGGCCACCACCGGCCACTACTGCATGTTTACTTACAACGTGATGTCGTACCTAGTAGATAGGGGACGATTGAATGGGTTAAAACAGCGCTAAAGACGAAGGACCAGTAAAAGGAAACACACAGACACAGCGCTGATTTGCAACATAATTTTTACTTCTACGCCATTCAGAAAGTAAGCTTCAAATGGGGGCGTATATAAAAAGGTGGAGTGTGTGTGGGGGGGGGGGGGGGGGGGGAGGTGGATGAGGCGCATGGCCGGAGTTTGCCCAGAGCTCTTGTGGATGTATAGCCGGCCCTGACGGCTGCCACTACGAAAAAACGCTTTTTGTTAGTTGTCATGTTCAAGTTTCAAGCTTCAAGTTTCTTAATTTCTAGCTCGAGCTTGAGCTTTTTTAACTTAAATAACTCTGCCTTTTCCGCCCGAGCCATCCGTTGCGCAATCGCAGCCTCCTCGTAATAGTTTTTTGCCGCCGCGGCGGCTGAGATTACTGCTTCAGCGGCATCCAGTGCCCTCTTAGCGGCTGCTTTGTCAAGCTCAATGTTCTCTGCTTCACACTCTTGCAGTTCCTCACTTCGCCGCTGGAAACGACGCGCAGCCGTCCTGCACCAGCGACTTGGTCGGATGCCTGGAGGAGGGAGGGGCTCGTCTGCCCTAAGGTCAAGGTTTCCGGGCTGACCAGCCTCCTGCCTAGCAGCCCGTTCGTCCGGTGGCAGCAGAACTTCAGCAGAGCCAGTACTGTACAGAACCATGTGGATGCTGATTTTAGCCGAGTGCGAAAAAGGCACACATTTTGCGTTGTTAAAACAATTCACAGTTTCCAGCAGCCCATTTTTGTGTTAGGTATGTTTACGCAGTATTGGGAAAAGTAGTAAGGACTTATCTCGGTTGCAGTTTTGTGCCGCCTGTTTATAGTGAAGCCAGTGTCATTTGAGAAACATCTGTCAATAATCGGTTCCTTCACTCTACCCTCACCTCGAACACATTTTGGTCGGTGTGAAAAGATTACTGAACTTTACCTTACTATACTCACATCATCACTAGGCGATGTACGGCTGGAGGTAATTTCTTTGTTTAGCAGCATGTAGAAATAAGAAATAAGATATTTTTTTGTTCAAATAACTCACGAGTGTATCGCCTGTCCTTCTTTCTGCTTTTTTACAATATATGTGCACTCACACACTATAAAAGTGCAAACAGTCCTTTTCGCAAGCTTTCCACAACTTCAAATTCTCCTGGTTTTTGCTACATCGACTGCGCAGAAAAAAAAAAAAGGCTTCTTATTTGTTGAATTAAAAAGTTTATGTCCACCATGTTCCCAAACTGATAAATACATATTTTATGACTTTCTGTTTCCGCTGTTTTCCAGCTACCTTTCGAGTTAAGAAAAAAAAAAAAAAAAGCACGGAAGATTACATAGAAAATACCAATTAAACACTTTTGCAGGTGATAAGCTCCACTGTGGATCCAGAAATTCAGGACTTATCCAGAAACGATTACTGAAAATAGAGATATTGGCAACTGAGCCTCAGTGAGCAGCTTGATTTTCCTGAAGATTGAATGAACGCTAGTTGCATACGTCTCGGTGTCGCCGACAATGACGTCATCCAGGCCACCCAAATTCGGCGAGTCCTGCCCAATGACGTCCAGCACAGCCTGGAAGATGGGCGTCACTACGTGCGGGTGTGGGGCCAGCACCTGTTGAGTTAAGGCAGAGGAGTGTTCTAAGTGTAAAGACAACAGTCGATGATAGGTCAAGAGCGAAAGCAGAGGAAAATGAAAGGTGGGGAGAAGAAAGCAAGCCAGAGAGAGCCCCCGGGGGAAACCTCGTCTATTCTACAGAGCCCCCTGATTCCTTTCCCCACCCTCCTTTCTCTCTCCCTTCATTCTTGACCTGTCATCGACTATAGTTTTCTCCCAGTAGGCACAACACATCTTTTCCTAGTACAAGCCCTCCACATATTTTACTATATTAGAGTGCCTATGGTGAAGCGTAATAAGCAAATTAAATTTGCATGGGCTTCTTACTCACTCCGGCGCGTGTTTGATTTTATATCCTACAATTGTTGGTATTACCGAGCTTTCTTTCTTTTTTTTTTTCTTTCCTAGTGAAATTTGCTTTATCGCAGGTTCAAGTTCTATACTTTGCCTGACTGCACTCCCACTATGAATGTAGACAAGGCCCTATGAGCTCTATAACATTCTTGGGGGGGGGGGGGGGGGGTAGTTCTGACTCACCAGTTCGTTGTTCATGCGCTCGGAAGAGCGCATACATGTCTCTGGCTTTCTTTACCAACTTCCGCCATGCCTCCTGCAGCTGCCGTGCACTCCGCGGAAAGCTTATGTCATTGGCAATATCTTCCCATGCCTGTCTCTTCGTTCGCCAGGTAACTGTGCTGCTGAATTTCTCTAGAATTTGTTGTTTTCGTTCTCCAATTGCTCTAATTAATTCCATTTGTTGATCCAAAGTCATTTTAGGTGTTTGCATTTGAGAGATGGTTTGCGATGTCGACGCCTGACTCATTTTTGCATTCGGTTGTGATCGTCTGCTATTCATACTAAAATTCAACAAATTTGTTAATATTCCAAAACGATTGCCAAAGCGAGATGTAAAGAGTAAAAATATAACTTTTATCACATTCAATGCAAGTAAAAGTATAATCTTTTTTATTTCGGTTTTACGACGTTGTCAGACGTTTGACTTGCTGCCTTGCTTGTAGGATTTCGCTCAATCAATGCATCCACGGCTGTTATTTTTTTTTTTGTGTGTGTGTGTGTATATTTCAGGGAATATATATATTTTTTTAATTGTTACAACTGCGGTTTCTAGTTTTACTAAATAGGAGTCTCCTGTTATTGAAAAGAGTCGTAGCAAGAGCGTTGTATATTTAAGAACACATAAAATTGTAGTTGCTGGGAAAGGATGCTTGCTTCGACCCCGTTTGTGAGAAAGTCATACCGATGCTGTAATCTTCGTGTCTTTTTAATGAAAATTATGAAACGTTCGTATTTGCGCGTTAACATCGCTTGATCTTGGTTTCCTTTCAATGAACATTATGAAACGACTGTAGTAGGGCGTTAACTTGGCTTATTGTAATGTTTTTTTCTTCCGGTTTGTCGACCCAACAGGTGGGGCAAACATTAAAAACCGTGTAAGGGGCAGTACTCCGAGTGGATGAGTAGTAAAAAAGATTACACTTAAAAATAAAAAAAAACACGCGCAAAATTAGAAAAAAAAGTATCTACCGCGATTCGAACCCGGAACTTTCCCAACGCGACGAGAAGTCCCGGCGCTCTAACCACTCGACCAAACGGCTTTTTTTTTTATATCTTTATTACTTATTTTACAAATACCACATCACACGATCAGTCATACCTGTATGTACAGTCAAACATGCGCTAAAAGCAACCTATTTACAAACAACTATCACACGTTTCCTTTTTTTCTCATTTGGCATCTTGAACATGTGGCCATTAGAAATACCTTAGGGAAAATTACAAAACTTGTAGTTGAGACATTTGAGCGAAAGTCACTCACGCGCAAGGTACATTTTTATCAAAAATCCGGAAGCCCAAGGCATGCATCAAACATGGGGAACCAGTCAGGTTGGCTTAGTTTTGAGGCATAGATACTTCTGACTTGCGCCACTTGTTGTAAAAAAAGCGATTTCGTCGTGCGTGGTTTCTCCGCATGCCTATCTATCATACGACACTTCCAGAGACTATGTAATCCCAGAAGCGCGAACATGTCATACGGGACGGTCTCGTTTTCTGAAAACGGTAGGAAGCGAAGGCTGTAATCGTTGAGGACTAAGTCTTTTTTTAGCGTGCGTTGTAGCACGTCCCAAAATAAAAACGCGTCACTGCAGTATATAAAACAGTGCTCTATCGTCTCTGGCTTATTACATAATCTACAATTAACTGTCCAGGGAACAAATATTCCCCTTTTTTGGAGATAAGGTTTTACGGGCAAAGTGGACGTATGGAGTTTAAAGAAAAACGTCTTGGTTGACGGAGGCACTCCCATTTTCTTTACTCTTTTAAATACGTCACTGATGGGTTCCAGCGTGAAGCGGGTACGATAAAGTGGAAGAGAAAACAGGCTTTCGGTAATGCTTCTTGACAATTCCTTTCTGGACACACTGAACAGATATTCCAGTGAAAACCTCGCTTTGAGAAAGCTAAATGTGTCTACCACCTCCTTTAGAAAGCCCCAAGGCCTACCTTGGTAAATTTCGCCATTTGAAACAACCAGATAATTTAAACTCTCAGCAAGACGTCGTTGGAGCATTACTCTGAGGAAATCGTGATTGGCATTCTTAAAGAAAAAAAAATCGGGAGACCAACTGACGGACAAATACATGGCACAATCCTAAACCGCCATATTCCAGGGAAAGGAAAAGGTTATCCCTTTTTATGGGTTCCCAAGTTGAACACCATATAAACGTAGCAAATATTCGATGAATTTTTTGGATGTTGGTTCGAGAGCAATGAAGTACCTGGAGCACGTACATAAGTTTTGAAGCCAGAAATATATTACAAACGCTGGCTCTAGCGAAAATTGAAATGTCTCTTCCTTTCCACGCGTCTGTTTTTCTTTTCAATGTGGTTGCCAGGGAAGACCAGTAGGTTACGCTACTACGAATTTGTGCGAGCGGTACTCCGAGATAGGTAAGGGGACTCCTGTTCCACGCTATCCCAGCAAAAAAACGGGGTTTCGTGGCCCAGGAACCATACCAGTAACCGTTGCATTTCGATGGGTTTACTGAGGCTCCTGTTACCGCGCAATAATGCGCTGTGAGATCAAGTGCCTTCTCAACGCTTCTCTTGTCCGAACAGAAAAATGCAACATCGTCTGCGTAGGCGAGGACTTTAACCTTAACATTGGCCAGCGAGTATCCTTGAACATCGTCGCTCCTAAGGACGCTAAGGCACAACGGCTCTAAGTACAGGGCGAAAAGAAGCGGGGATAGCGGGCAGCCCTGCCTAACGGAAGATTGTATTTTAATCTCGTCAGATAGTATACCATTTACGATGAGCCTTGTAGAACAATTGAAATAGCATAGCTGGATTCCATCTAAGAGTGTCGCCCCCACGTTGACATGCTTAAGCAACGCAAATAAAAATGAGTGACTCACGCGGTCAAAAGCCTTTGTGAGATCTATTTGTACAAATGCAACCTGGTCACTGTTGTCAGACGCACACTCCAGTACTGAACGGGCAACATGTGCATTCGTTTGGATAGCTCTGACACGTATCCCGCAGGTTTGGTGTTCACCTACTAGCTTTTCGATTACACTTTGTAGCCTTTCATTGAGCACTTTTGCATAAATTTTATAGTCAACGTTGCAGAGGGAAATAGGTCTATAATTTTCCATGTTTTTCAACATTTCCAAGTTTTTCGTTTTTGGTATTAGTACCGTGTGTCCACGGTAAAAGGAAGGCGGAAGCGCTCGCTGGACATAGGCTTCCTGAAATACGGCGAGTAGAACAGGAGAAATAATGTCTACGTATTTTTTATAAAATCCTCCACTTAGTCCATCAGGCCCAGGCGTTTTACCATTAGGGAGGGATTTGATGGCGGCTTTGATTTCATCCAAGGTTATAGGACCGTCGATTAACTTCCGGTCTGTCTCGTCTAGTATCGGCATATGTGATAACAGCTGTTCAACTTCAGCCTTCTCTTTTGTAGGTATTAATTTTCCAAAAATATTTGTGTAAAATTGGTGGAATGATTTCACAATGTCCGCTGTGTCGGTGTGCATTGACCCATTGCTATTTATCTCTACGATTTCTTTTGACAGAGCATATCGCCTTTCGTCGTCCAGAGACCTCTTTGTAGGTTGTTCACCAAGGAGGAAACGTTTCTTTCGAGAGCGAATTATGGCCCCTCGATACCTTTCTGTTTCATATTTTTGTAGTTGAGCTCGAACCACATTGATATCGTCACTATATACGCCTGGGTTAAGGCATTCTAGTTCGTATAGAGTCGTTAAATTCTTGAAGAGTTCACGTTGTTCCTGTTTGTTGATGTAGGATAAGATCGTGGAACGCTCGATTGCGTGGTTTTTCACCTCCTGTTCAAAGAAATCCCATTTAGCAAATATATGCATGCCAACGTTTTTTTGTATGTCCGACAAAACTATGGGAATCTTTTTTGAGAAAGAATCATCGCTTAGAAGTTTCAGGTTTAACTTCCAGAAGTCCCACTGTTGACAAACACATCGGTGTCTCTGCGGACCAAAACAAGTTGATACCAAGCAATGATCAGAAAAGAACACCGGTTTAACGTGGTAGTCGCTCATTGAGTCAATTATAAAGCCCGAGACATAAATTCTGTCTAACCGAGCGTGAGAGATTCCTTGGAAATGAGTGTAACGTATTGGTTCACCTTTTCTATAAGCCACATCAACGAGGTTATGCTCTTGAAGCATGCTCTGAAGAGCCGTTGCACTTCTATCATACCTAGTCTGCGATACCGATCGATCGTCTGTACTACAAACACAATTAAAGTCTCCCATTGTAACTAACGCTCTATTAGTCTCAAAAAGCGATGGTAAAATTTCAAAGAATGATGTTCTTTCCTTCGGGCTATTGGGAGCGTAAAGACAAATGAAGCGCCAATTTATCTGTCTAAAGCTAAGGTCACAAGAAATAAGACGCCCTTCGAGGTCAGTCAAAACGGAAACTGATGACAAATCAAGCTCTTTACGAAAGAAGAGAAAACACCCAGCGGAGAGACCTGAAGCTTGACTAACGCAAATTTCGTAATCCTTCATAAAGGGTTCTAACGCTTCAGCAATACTCTCATCTGAAGATAGCTTCGTCTCCTGTACCGCTGCGACGTCAACTTTCTCCTCTTTAAAAAGGCGCAGCAGCTGATACTGTTTCCTTTTAGAGCTCAGACCTCTTACATTTAAGGTCGTGAAATGTAAAGGAAGGGCGGCAGACATTGGGAAGTTTAGGGCGTACTCAAGTCACCGCTTAGGCTGTCCTCGGTCACCTTGAGGTTTGCCGGCGGTTTGGCGTATGGCTTGAGTCGGGTTCCAGCCTGCTTGCGTTCTTTCTTGGCTCGCGTTGGAGGGAGCCCATCAGCAGACGGACTGTTGGTCGGTCCACCCATGACAGCAACGTCTGGCACTTGAGCTGGCTGAGGTGCCTCAACGGGCGGTTCGGTGACTTCGGGCTTTGCACCGATCTCAGCGGTGTCCTGCTCTCGCCTTGTAGCATCTTCCTCGACTATCGTTGAGTCTGATGTCATAGACGAAGCGTCGTCTTCGTCTGGCGGTGGAGGTGGCTCAGGGAGGCCACCAGGGTCGTCTTTGCGTTCACTGGTACTGGGAACTTTGCTTGGAGGCTCTTGTTCGATGTACTTGGCGAACGTTTCGGCCGGCGGGGCGTGACCCGAAGCGTCGACGACCTCGGAGGCGTCCATCAGGAGTTCCGACTGCTCTTCCGTCTCACGGGACATTTTGCCACGAAGCTTGCTTGCGTAAGATGTGACGCAAGCATCCGCGATGTGTCCGTAGATACCGCATTTGTAGCAGCGTGGTGTTCTGCACTGCCGTCGAATGTGTCCGACCCTGTTGCACCTGAGGCACAAAGGAGGTCTTCCTGGTACGATGACGAGCGTCTGCATGCCGTACACCTGAAGTAGGTGAGGAATCTTTTCTGTCGACGTTCCTTCGTGCAGGGTGATGTTTACCTCCCTGTTCAGGGTGTCCATGTGCTCCATTCCTGGGCAGCGCCACTTCTCTCGATGAACGCTACGTACTGTGCCGAAAGGCGTCATAGCTTCGACGACGCGCCCGTCTTCGAGATGGTCCGGAAGCCACAGGAGCTTCATCTTGAGGTCCCGTGTGTTTGGGTCGATCACCAGGCATTTCTTGCCTTTAACGAGCAGCTCGCCACGGCGGCAAAGCTTTTCTTTGGCGAGAGCGTTGACGCAGGTGACCATCCATACATGGCCCATCTGGAATTGTCCGGTAGCTTTTATGTCTTTTAGGTCTATAACTTCTTTCAGAGCATCACGGAAGTCCGGTGCCGTGTAAGGCCTAGCGGTCATGTCGGCGTGAAGAAATACAGAATTCAGAACGAGGTTACCGGTTGGCAGACGAGGAAGCGTGATCCTGTACTCACTTGAGTTGACATTCGACGATTCAATATTACCTCGGCCAGAGGCCGATGCGGTGTTTCCACCAGAGCTCATTTTTTCGCAGCCGTTCCAAACGGCCACTTCTTCTTCCCCCCACTCGACCAAACGGCCGATGCTTAATTCGCTGGCACATATATATAAATACACAACCACCGCTTTTGTTTAGCGTGATTTTTCCTTTATTTTGGTTTATATTTACGTTCCCTGGCCGTAACTTTACCTGCCGCTCCTAACGTATGATGGGGCGGTCAATTGGACCTCAGTTGAAAGCCTGTGCAGTCAGTTTCTGCGAGCGAAATTCGACTTTTGTACTCGAAGCGACACGGATTTCTCCGCCATTAGGAAGGGACGCTAGGTACTTTCTTGTCCCCAAGGAGCTGGTCACGTGACAGAAAAATCCCTCCTGGCCGCGGCCGCGTCCGCAGCCGCAAGATGAGCAAACCGGCCCAGGTGAAATGTACGGCATCCTTCGTCAACCGCGTGAGAGGCTCTTCAATGCATGAGAAGCCTTCGACGAATCTCCGGTAGTAAGCACATAATCCAAGGAATCGGCGCACCGCTTTCTTGTCGGTGGGCAGCGGAAATTCGGCGACAGCAGCAGTCTTTTCCGGGTCTGGTAGAACACCATCACTGTTCACGATATGGCCCAGGAACTTTAGCTCCTCGTAGGCGAAGCGGCATTTTTCCGACTTGAGGGTCAACCCTGAAGATTTAAGGCCGGTTCTCACATGCAGCGAAGCGCTGATGTAGCGCTCCTCACGTGTCATCAGCTACTTATCGTCCGCCATGAGCAACAGTTTTGACGGTGCGATACAAAGCTGGTGACCGCTGCCGTCAGCACGCGCTTAGCGCGAGGTTAGCGCTATGCTCGTAGCGCTCCGCTGCATGTGTGAACAGGCCTTTAATCGCATGGAATACCGTCTCAAGCCTTTGGAGGTGTTCCTCGAAGGTCGGGGCAAACACCACGACGTCATCCAGGTAGACGAGACACATCTGCCATTTGAGGTCTGCGAGCACGGTATCCATGACGCGTTGGAATGTTGCCGG